TTTTGCCGTGGAGCGCAGTCCGTGTGTATACACTGGGGGAAGGGTTCCGAGAGAGCGGTTGATGTTATGGGCTGTCTTCTGTATGTGCCAAGACTCGAATAACAACCTTCTCCTCCAGTCCTCCACTTCAGCTCGCTTTCAAGGATGGCCGTCACTTTGAAATTTATCTGGTGATCTAACGTCTCCGCATGTTCGGCGATTGGGCTGCGCTTTTTGTAGAACTTCCGCACATCTGCTGTCGTTCCGGTAAATTTTTCGTCTCGCCGATATACGAAGAGGGGCACTCGGCGCATGGAATTTTGTAAACGACACTGGGGGTCCTCTCCATTGTTGGCCGGTCTTTCGAGCGGGGGAGAAGGCGGCCCAGCGTACACGAAGGAACGTGCGCGATGCGAACCCCTTCCTTCTTGAAGATCTCGCTCGTTCCTAGAACGCATGGAACCGGTACACATTTTGGGAAGCTGCCAATAAAGGTCGATTGGGGTTTTCGTATCCTCTGTTGCTCTGTGCGGCAGGTGGCGGGTCGAATGAAGTTTTTTGGGTATCTGTTTTTTCTTAGGTCCGCAATTACGCGGGCCTCTCCTTTCTTCCGCTCTGTGTCATTAGAGCATAAGTTCCTAGCTCTCTTGAATAGCGTGGTCTCAAACGAGGCCTTGTGGCAGGCGGGGTAGAAGAATCGAATTGAAGGTAGCGGCCAGTGTGAATTGGCTTCCTATAAACGGAGAACTCCAGGCCGATGCGTTTTCTTGCCACCTGGACATTGAGAAAGGCCAGGCAGTGGTCACTTTCACACTCGGTCATGAATTGTATGGCTGGGTGCATGGAATTTAGGTGTTGTTTGAAGTTTTCAACTTCAGACGCAAAAGCAGACGTCCATATAACGCAGAAAAAGCTTGGGTCGTGGCGAGAAGGAGCTGAGTGCTTTCTCTTCTATGCACTAAACGTCGGGTTTCTTCAAAACTTTTGGTTGGAGTCTAAATCATCTCTCAAACTGAAGGCTTCAATGTGCTGCAACACTTACAACATTATTCTGCAATTAAATCTTTTAGCAGAGTTCGAAAGTCCCCTAAGTAAAACAAAAAAGTATTGCAGTATCTGTATTGCTGCAGCTACATTCTGGGATACTTTTTTTCGTTTTTTTTTTTTTTTTGCAGAAGCACCTCCGAAATATCCCACTACATTCAAGACTAATGTATCTCAGCATATGTACAGCTTCCAAGCCATGTGTTTCTATATCTCTATTCTGGAATACTTTTCCCCCTATCTTTGCCCAGCCATCGTCCCAGGTTCAATACTTAAGGAAGGATAAATTTTTTTGTGGACTGAGAAACTTTATTTCTGCGATATGAATTTCTTTGTTATTTTGTGCTAAGTGATTGTCAACAGGTGGTTGTCATTATGAGTGTAATTTGCTACAACAGGTGAATGTCATTTCCCTTCCTTAAACCTTCTGCCACACTGTGGAATTCCAAAAAACTGATAAGCAAGATGTTCCCATTTGCTTTAGATTCACAAATTCACCGTTGTGCTACCTTGCATGTGTAAGTGAGCTTTCTAGTTAGCTCAACTGGAAGAGTATTTACTAGTTTAGAAATTATCTTACACGGTCTACTTCTTGCCACTCTCACGATCACACCTAGAGAAAAGCATGCAAAATGTTGGATTTTTTATGACGAACCACCAATCTGTTACCAAAAGAAGCTCATGATCTATTGTACAAAACATATGCAAGGTCTATACGGGAATAGTTTACAGTTTAAGACTTTTCAAAAAACATTGACAGGAACTAAATTGAGAAAGTGCAAAATATTGGAGCCAGATATGTTTTAAATAACTACAGCTTAGCATGAGTGCTGCTATGCATATGTTAGAATGGGAGCTGCTTCACGAAAGAAGACAAAAAATTGTGACAAGTTTTTCCACTGCATTTATAAGTATACAACTGGCACAGAGTATATTACCTGATCTCACTACGTATCTGGTCATTAGGACCATGTGCACAAAATGGAGAACTCTACACTTCAATATTGCCCCAAGCTATCCACGACTGAAATTGTCTACCATCAGCTGTTGTGCATATTGCAGCAGTGCGTCATGTGTATGCTCGCTTGCTGCATTAAAAACTAATACTGCCCTCCTGTGAGCCTTGCTCAAAACATTTCTTGTATCCTGCTTGCATGTCTGTTATTACATGTATGTAACCCCCCTGCTAGCTTCCTGAATAGCTCAGTTGGCAGAGTGACCGCCCTGGGAAGGCACTAATCCTGGGTTCGATACTCGAAGCAGTGTCAGCTCCGGGTATCTGAGCCAACCCACTAGATGCTGTAGGTAATGTAAACAAATATATAAAGATCACATAGTTATTAAAAGCAACAGCAGCACCATAAAATATATGATATACTTTCAAATCACGTACCTTAAAAGAAAAAAACTGAAACAAGCATGTGGAATAATTACTGTACTTTGCTGCGTGTAACCCACAAAAAACAAACAAACTAACTAACAAAAACAAATACAGTTAAACCCCAGAGGCAAGCTCTGGGCAGCAATTTCTGTCTTGTATACGAGATGTCCCTTATAAGTAGGGTACCTCTTAAGCCTGTTGTTATCTACCCGTATTTTATGTAGGCATACAGGTGTCTCTTGTACCAGTGTGTCTCATAAACAGGTTCGACTGTAATGTGAAGGAAAAATAAAGATAGAACAACATGAATTCCTGTGTAAAAAGGTAGCTTCATGGCAATGCCCAGAGGCACAGGGTAAGGTAAAATATTTTTAACATTTTAGTTTGGTTTTTTGCTTGTTTGAATATTTTTAGCACTATCTAGGGCCCCATGCTGCACTTTGATTGAGTAAAAAATGCCAGGTTTTTAAGACAAACTGCCAAAAAGCTCCTTTTTCTCAGACAGTGCACAACCTGAGCTTTGTAAAATCAAAACTCGTAGTTTCACTAAGCTTAGCAGGTTCTTAAAAGAGTATTATGGCAGCTTTAAAGCCAACGGTGCAGCTTTTTTTCAGCACACGCTGGATTTACTAAGTACACTTACCCTGAGTGTTCTGAGCATTGATTTTGAGTGCCTTGGTTGATTTTGTTGTGATGGCAAAAGATATTTTCGTGTTGAATCCAACTAACACTGCTCAGATTGCACATTACAGTTTGAAATCGACAAGCTTTGGCTACTAACAGAAATGAGACTAAGAGCAGTGCCCTCACTATGCATTGCTGCTGCAGTGACGCTACTGGCTTGGGCTGTTTTAGAGCAGGCGTTGCTAGAAACAATTTGCAGTTGTAGAAGGGAGATTAAGATGGGTAGAACGCAGTAACAACAAAGATATGTACACAACTAATCAAGTCACCAAACAGAGCAAAAAATGGTAGAAATTTAAAGCTGGAAAAGTGCACTGTTGTACCCTAAACACAGGCTTTCACTTACCTAGTCTCAAAAACATTTGTACCCACTTGCCAGTGTTCAGAGTACCATGACTCTTTTAAATAGCTTTCTTGTCTTGCTGCATAAGTGCCCACTGAACAATGAAGTCATATGCTGATTACTGCATGTTTTTCACTTTAGAAAATATCTTGCTCTCAACAAGGCCCATGCAATGTCTTAGATCTTGATAACAACACACTACAGTGAAATCTCGGTATAACGAACTTCAGGGGGCCGCGGCAATTCGTTCTTTATTTTGAGAGGTTGTTATAGTGAAAACCCAAAAATTAACCATAAATACTTATTTTTTACTGACCAAAACGACTTACCTTTACAACCGTGGGTCTCTGAACTCGTCTTTAACGAGAAAAAAACTAATGCACGAGTGAACACCAAAAATGCACGTTTATTTTGAAAAAGACAGTTTTTTTTTTTACGCAGCAGCACAAACTTTGCAGTGCGAAGGGCCCCAACTCATCCACATTCCTGTGGTGCGATTCGGTTCTTTTGGTCAGAGCAGCCTGCTGTTCGCTTTCCATTTGCCAAAGAATATCCACTTTCTCGCTTAGCGAAAACTGATTCCGCTTCTTTGTCGCAAGCAGAGACGAACTCATTCGTAGTAGCCCCACAGCTCGAACGCTGACTTGCTTTGCGGACGCGATAAGTAATCACCGAAAAGAGATGAACAAGACTGACAAACAAGGCCTCCTAGTCCTAGAGCACATGTAGAAGTGACAAAAAAAGACAAACCCGAAGCGTCGCGGCGCCTCTTCTGAGGAAAAAAAAAAGTGATAAAAAAGAAAATTTCTCGCGTTTCGTTTCCTGCTCCCTCCCTGTCTCAGGTTTTCTGCGCCCATGCTTCCTGCTCCACCACTCTGCCTCGCTGACCTTGCCTTCCCGTGTTGCCCTCGCCTTTGCGCTTGTAAATCTGCAGCGTTGGCGTTTCAATAAAAAGAAAGAAAAGAAAGTCGCCCTTTCGTTTCCCCTCCCCCCCCCCCCCCCCCCCCCCCCCCCCCGCACTGTCGTGCGTCTTCTGATAGCGCGAGAACAGAACAACGACAAAGAGACAAGAAGGACATGAGCGCTCTTTGTCGTTGTTCTGTTCTCGCACTATAACTATCCTCATGCCATACCAACTAGCCCAAACTGCACCACTTCTGAGAAGCAAGGCGTTCTTTCCCTTTGTCGTCTGCTTGCGTACCGCTCTGGTGGTCGCGATGGATTTCAGAACATGAGTTCGTAGTACTGAGGCGTTGTTAATATAACGTGGAACTAAATTAACGCTCGTTATTCTGAAAAGCTCGATATTCTGAAGCACGTAGTGGTGAAAAAGTTTTACATTGAAACTATTAGCAGTCGGTGCAGGATTTTTCAAAAGTTCATTAATCTGAAAAGTTCGTTAATGTGGGGTTCGTTTTACCAAAATTTCACTGTACTGTGTTAGAAAAATATTGCATTTTCAAAATCAGCATGTAAACTCAGCTTAACTCCTGGCTTACTAACTAGCCTGTCAGTACATATTAAGCCATTAAAACCAACCAACAGCAAGAAGAAAAAAAAAGTACTCACAGGTGGGTGATATAGAAGAGCACAGCCCAGGCTTCAATGGGTGAACCATCCTTGGAGATGAAGTGGTAGTTGATCTGCACCAGTAAAACAGGTATTTTAGAAGATGTCAAAGCCAGGTGAATAGACAACACTTCTTTGCACACAGCCTCATTTCTGCTCTTTCCAAGCTTCTGGTTCTTCACGTAACATTATTTTTTACCGCACTACTCATAAAACTGAGTTAAAAGCTGCTTTTCTTTAGTCAAGTTCAATGAAATAAACGCCGAACAGGAGATGTGTACAGATTGGCATCATAAGACATGGTCGGAAGTCATGTCTCCCTAGAACGACACACCTTGGCAATAAGCTCCATTTTCCTGCTATTTTGGCACTGTGTGTACTTAAGATGACAGAGACGGCAGTGGTGCGGCCTGATACGACCAGCGCAGGGTTCACCCTTCAGTCTGACTGGGTCCTGCCGAGCACCAGCAGCATCTCATAACCACAGATTATCTTCCTCCATGGCTTTGTGCCCTTTGGCCTTGTCCCCTGTTGTTCCTTAGTGCACTGGCTCCATTCGCATTGCTACAATGCCGGTCCACGTAAGAGGGTCAGCCTCCGTGACCCACAATCTCTGCTTCAATGGCCTCGTGTGAGACACTGGCTAGGGTAACCCCTTTTTTTTTGCTAACAATCGTCTCTTTACCTTTTTGTTCTGAGGGCCACATATGAAACGGTGCTGCAGTGCAGTGTTGAGGATTGTGAAATTGCAGTGCTGCACTGTGCTGTGCAAGGCTGCACGGTACTTGGTAGCAGTCTCCCTCGGCACCTGGTTGCAGCGATGAAAATCGTAACGCCTGGCTAGTTTGGGTTTTTCGGGGCAAGATGCTGTTGCAGGGCAGACAATATTGCCGACAGTACTGTGTCCCTCAACTGCGTTGGCACCACAAGAACTTTGGCTAATTGTAACATCATGGGACGACATCGACTCAGGATAGAGGGCTTCTACTTGTCGGCATCCGTTATACCATGGGCATTCAAACAGAATTCAAATCTTTGAGTGTAGATTTGCCATTCCTCCAGGCGGGATCGATCAAATGGCTCGATGTAGCTTTTCGTGGCAGCGCCCATCAGACCTTACGGTAAAGAAGTGTAGTCCTTCCTTCAGATTACCCCGATGGTGAACATGCAGCGATGCACTCACTCGTGCTCATACTTGATACCACTGACACCCTTCCATTATCTGGGTACCGAACCCATCTTCATCGGCAGTATTAAACCGTGGGAGTAAGACACGCTGACACTCCGATGCATGTCAAAAGCTGGTCGAGCCACTAGCTTCGATCGCTCTTTATTTCATTCATGGCATCATAAGGTACTATCAATATTGCCAACACAAAACTACAACACACCATATGTGGCCTAACATGAAAACACAACATATACGTGCAACTGGTGCGTGCTTCATAAGTTCCGCAAAAGACACTTCGCAATCAAAGAGCTGTCGCTGCCACAGTGGAAGATGGGCTGCAGGAGCCATTAGACAGTTTTCAAAAAATGACAAACCCAATACTTCAGACAGGCCCTCAGGCAAAGTACATGGCGTTGTCTCACAGTAGGATGGTTATGAAAGAGTGCAGAAGTAAACAAATTATTAAATGTGAAGCATTTCTTTGCATACAGCTAGCACTTTTGTTTGCTGTCTTTCTATCTGTCTGTCTAGTCACCTACATTTGGGTGCTCTCATGATCAACCACTTAATTAACTTGAAATACACCAAAATTAGTATGGGACGGTAAAATGGTTTGTCGAATACTGTCATGAGTAAGAGAGCATTAAGCATGTGCCAGAAGCTGGAATGCGGCACACGTGCGCGAGACCCCCGATTGTGTACAAACGCGCCACGTTCACGTACAAGATTGCTCGGAAAAAGGCTCGTAACATGCAACCCGAGCCGTAATGGAGAATCCTGGAGGATGAGCTATCACTGTGCTGTGGAGCTCCAAACTGAAAAGGTTAGGAACATCAGCGTCACTACAACGACGAAAGCAGTGGCTGCCTAGTTCTGAAGGATGTCGACGTGAGAGGCCCTGGAAGCGGCTGTCAACCTAAGAGGTCCTGAGTGCATACCTGCCAAGTTCAATGATTCTGAATCCGGGAGATTGCCGCGACGAGAGAGGGGGGGATACGCACAGCAAAAAAAATAATAAAAAAGAATATATAAACAAACAAGAAAACACCGCAAAAACAAAACAAAATGAGGGGTCTCAATCACAAGCACAAACATCAGTGTGGCGATCTTATAGTGGCTAGGAGTGGCCGAACACACGAGGGCAGAGTTTTTCACTAAGGTGAGAGTCTCAAAGAATCAACACAACTAGCAGAATCTATTTCACTTAAAACAACTTGTGTATGTCTGTCTGGGACACATGTGAACGGACGGGACGGCGCATCTGGCTGCCGCAAAAGCGCGGGTCAAAGCTTTGCCTCACTGCTTGATTCTTTTGACAGGAACGCCAAAACACGTCTGGCCCCTATTAATTGCGATTGCAATTATATGGACAGTCCAGGCAGTTTTTTTGCCATTGCCACCGCCGCTGTCTTTCACCGTAAATGTATGAATGTATGTATGTATGTATGTATGTATGTATGTATGTATGTATGTATGTATGTATGTATGTATGTATGTATGTATGTAAGGGGAAGAAGTGTATACCTAAGGGCTCGTTTTTCCGTGTTTTCACAAAATATTAATGAGATCTAACAGATCTCATTAATATTGTCAAACAGATTATATATATATATATATATATATATATATATATATATATATATATATATATATTGAGCTGCCTTTTTGCCAATGCGGCTAGATCACGCACAAAAATTTCAATTTCCCGGAGATTTTTATGACAACCATACAACCAGAAAAAACGGTCGAAATCCTGGAGCCTCCCGGCCAATCTGGGAGACTTGGCAGGTATGTGAGTGAGGCTGCCCGGACTTGCTGCAACCATGCACAGCAGTCCCTGAGGGGACTACAGCTCTTCCACTTCGAACCAGAACGAATGTGACCGACACCAGTCATCAGAGGGAGTTATCAATGAGGCTATGAATAAGCTGGGTTTGACCAAGCGGGCCGAAGATAATGGATAAGACCGGGACACCGGCAATGAAGACAAACAGCACATTGAACAGAAACTACCAACGATGACCGTAGGAGCTTGAGGAGGATGTCGACAACAGACTTGACAAACTGTCGACATGGCAAGGGCACGTAGTCGACGCGACAATGGGATGCACAAGAACGTTTCGTTACCAAAACGCCATTTTGGCTAGAGAGAGTAAGGAATAAGGAGAGAACTTGACTCGGATTGAAGTTAGTTCCGGTTTCGCTGTAAAGCTCGTCATTGTGTGTTTATTTTTTGCACTTTAAGTGTTTGTTCAAATTTTTGCCATTTTGTGTAATATTAAGATGGGTTTGCTGTGTTACCTGCGACTCACTTCCAACTCTCTCAATCTAACCTTTCGCAAGCGCTCCCGAGGTAAATTTGTGACAAACACAACTCGCTGGTCATGACATAAATAATGTCACAATCTCGTGAAATTAATAAATGTTTTTATGTGTGTCTAAAATGAGTTTGCCCCTGACTCTTTGTTAATTTCACCAGTTTTACATGCGTTTCGATACAAATTTTCTCTAATATAAATACTTTTTGTGCCCTCACAAGAATCGTGTCATAGAGATTTTACAGTAGTCATGAATGTCATGGTGGTGATGCATTACTACACTTTACATAGAGCACTTCGAGAGGGCAGTGGTATATATCAGCATGTTTTGAAAGTCTTCAAAATACGTGATAATGGCATAATGGACAGTGTGCCCGGAAGCTGCTATTGCCGACTGAGAGGTTGTCATTTTCGGCATCATTTCTGTGCTGGAAGTACGTCAGTATGCTGGTGAACCTTGGCGTAAAACAGTTTCATGATAAAAACCTCACAGGTTACATAAGTTGTAGATTAGCACAAAATGTCTTGGGGGCGAAAGACATTTTCTTTTTATTGCGATATTGATTATAGGGACATTCTTGACTGGTTTTCTGCTGCCATCATGTTTTGTATAATGGGTTCAAATCGATAACATCACCCTACACATCTTGTGTTTTACAAGTGGGTAAAAGCGCATGAGCGAGCATGAAAAACATTGATGCCATATCCATTGCTAATTAAATGGAGAGGAAATGCCACACCATATTCAAGTGCCATAAAGGAACGCAAACGGGATGGGGTGGGGGTGATTTATGACTAGAGGCCGGATTTATAGGCAATAAAAAACTAGGTTTTAGGCACGGAAAATAGGTGGGCAAAACACTGTTTTAGGCCCCCAAAACCACGAATCTAGACCCAATAAACTTTGAAGAAATTCCAATTTTCTGAAAAAATAGGGGTTGAACTTGTGTCTGCGACAAGAAAGCAAACAGAAATGTTTTCGTTTATGACGGTACAATGGCGCCAATGATTTAGCATAGCCATGCAATTTTTTTCCGCTAGGTGTGCAGAATATGGTCTCCCCTTTTGTAGTCCATCATGGTGACTTAGATGTTAACCTTCAAATATACACGCTCCTGCGTCTCTTTCTTTTCTGCATGGCTGAGAAAAGCAACAAAAGACCAAATAGCCAGAGAACCAATAGGCCACAAAGGTCATTTTGCCTCATATTAACTTGGTTTAACTGCACAGGGTCAATTTCTCTTCTGTCTGCCAACACCTTAAAGGGTCTTTCACCAGGTTTGAGAACAGGCAAAAAGAATGCATGCACTTGGTGCTCTCGATCTCGTCTGCGAAGATTTACAATGCTACTCGCCAAGGAAAAGGTAAAATGTCAGATTAAACGCCGCTTGATCTTCATCTCGTGGGCGCATGCCCCAACATGATGGAGGTGACGTACACAAGTATGTCAAAGCAGGATGGGACACCGTGAGAATTATTCGAGGCAATGTGATTACTTTGTCTTATGTGTTGCCTGAATATAAGTATGTATGTTTGTGACGAGCGATAGCAGACGACGCCGGTGCGTGTCTCGCGCCTTCGCGCG